TATCAGAGAGAGAGATAGAGAGAGAGAGACTCATGTAACCCCGTGTAACAGACATGTATACACCGTAATTTTATTGAATTCACAATTAATAATTCTAATGATTTTTAATTTTCACAACTATGGTTCATATTCAACTGTTCAACCCATTTACATATTCGTTCATATTCGTTATCTGTACCTGTACGCACGGGGGGGGGGGGGGTCGAAGGGCTTAGCCCCACCCCCACTTTTTTCCCAATATTACTTTTTCTATTGAAAATGTTCATTGATAGACAGATTGCCACCCCCCCCCCCCCCACAGTTTATACTACGGTAAAGTTATATAAGGGAAATGTAGTATTGTATACCAGGAACTGGTACTAAAATAAGTAGCTTTTTCAACTTTGGGCAAGGTTTTTCTTTGCTTGTCAACTTTTCCAGGTAAGAAAAAAATATTTCTTTGGATACCCCCCCCCCCCACTTTTAAAGACGATGCTACGTGCCTGGCTAATTCGTACATGTATAGCTTTCTAGAAGGGGGGGGGGTAACAGACCCTTTATAAATTAATTTATTATCTTAAAAAAAATGCAAACCGTTTCCTTCTTTTAAAATTTTTAAATACAGCGTGTAAGTTGATCATTATGTTGTGGGATAATCGCAACGTTCGCGTAGTCCGCGGAAGTTAGGCTAGTATAGAAGAGTTCCGATTTTGAGGGGAGATAACTCACTTTTGAAAATGGGGAATACCCTTCGTTTGGCGCCACAGAGCATTAAGTTTGACCTTTTTCTTTTTTACTGTAAATGTGTCTTTTACATAAATCATTTACTAGTCTTAAAAAAATTTTTCCTCCAATATTTTTTGTTCAAATAAATTATGGGAAGAAACACAGTCTTATTTCATATAAAATAGACACATTAAAATTTGTGACAACGAAGAAATTTTCAAATTACTCCGCATGTTCAATTATTTGACCTTTTTGCACTCAAACATTTTCATTTTTCTGGCATTAAAAATTTAACAAGCCCAAAGATGACATTTGTAATGACATTTTGCTAAATTTAAGAGGACTGGTTAAAATTGTCGTACATATTCAGAAAATAAAATAAAAAGTGGGTGTCTGTGATGTTAATTTTTAGATATTACTAAATAAGTGCTAATTTTAAGCTTAAATTAGGATTTTTTTCTTCCATTCTTTCAATATATATGCTATATATTTATCAAATATTTGACAGTTTATTTTATAGATAATTTATTTACAACTAGTGTAAAACATTGCACTGCACAAAATAACTCTATGGGGATGCTGCATGTAAATATAGGAATCCAAAAAAAAACATTTATTTAAATACTCTGAAAGAGGAAAAAATGATCAATTTCTTCTAAAAAATACACAATTCACAAAATATTGTTCCTCTCTTAATGCTTTTGATATGGAATTTAAACATGTAGTTTTAACTGAATATAGTCAAATTGGCTTAGTAGAATCCAAATTAATTGTAAGAATTAAAACATTACGCAGAATATTTGAAATATAGGATTAAAAAATCTGATGAAAAGGTCAGAAGCGATCCTCGTTAAAGTCGGCATTTCGTGAATTCTCTTGCCGCCATACTGACCTTGTTAGCAAATATAACCTACCATTGCAATTGGATCGTACCTTGACTTCATGCCAATTGCTGGTCCTTTGTTTTTATAATGAATTTGCTTACGGAGAGTTCCACCTACCTGATCAATACATGACCGGTCAACAAAGCATCTTTACTCCTCCTAGGCACCTGATCCCACCTCTGAAATCAGTACATGACCGGTCGACAAGGGATCTTTAATATTCTTAGGTCAATCCAAGCTCTGTAATTTCCATGAGTCCGTATTTTATGGCCTCTTTGTATTTTTGTATTTTAATAGACATTTTTAAGATCAATCAGTTTTTGCTATCTTCACCTTTTATACATTGCAAGCAAAGTTGAAAAAAGAAAACGGTTAGAGTTAAGTTAGATATTCAGGTTTTGATGTTGAGACTTTAATCAGTGTCCTCTTCCTGATACAAACTTTGATTTTTTTTCTTAGAATCTTGTTATATTGGTCATTGGCGAATTATTTTGTTAAAAACATTCTGATTGTACACAAAAGTACTCTGAAGTTGATAATAAAAAAGATACTCGAGTTTTTGATTGACGATATCTATTTTTAAGTTTTAGAGATCAGGTCTTCAAACAATCTGTTGGAATCCGTATGGGTACCAATTTCATCCCATTATTATCAGATTTCTTTTTGTATTCTTAAGAAGCATATTATTTTAAAACTTTTTCGTGAGAAGAAGAACCTACTTGCTGTAGCCTTCAATCCAACATTTCGATATATCGAGACGTATTATCGTCAATTACTAATAATTACTTTCATTCATATGTCGACTCCCTATAACCAAACCCAATGAGCTTGAAATAAAAGAAACCAAGACTGACACATCTGTTTTATATTTGTATATTTTAATTAAAAAAAAAACGTCAAGTGCAATTCAACAACCAAGCTTTATTTCCTCACGAAAATATTAACAGCACTAGTTGGAAACTTCAGGAGTATTGTGCAACAAGATATTCGAGAAGTGATGTAAATAAGATTTTGGTACTTTATAACTCCATGGAACTTTTGGAAATTTTGAAATCCCAAATTTTTACCAAAATCAATAACATAACAAATTACGACTTCTTAACTCTATACACAACCGTTCCTCACGATAAATTGAAGTCAAGACTTTTTGACAGAAAAAACTGCTTTTTCAATAAAAATCCTAATCGTACTGGTAAAGTAACTTATCTTGCCATTGGTCATTTGCATTAAAAAGATGTTAAGAGTTTTTGATTGAAAAAATCTACAGCATGTAGTTTTTGGAGACCAGGTCTTTCAACAATCTGTTGACTTTTGTCTTTTGTTCTAATATCGGACTGTCCCAAGTAAATTAAAAAGCAATGTTTAAAGTACGTCTCATAAGCAATGTCTCATAAAATTCTGTATAAAAAAAATATCAGACGGGCCTCAAACTGCAAATGCTCAAAATGCAAACCTGTATTCAGCATATATTCAGTACCTATATTTACTCAAATTAATGAAGATATTTAAATTTTCCACAGATATATCATTTTTTCGCCCTTGTCAAACACATTTTTACAATTTGAATGACAGGAATAAATTTAGATATCCTAAGGGAAAAACTGTATTATTTTTTTTTTTTCATGACAACTGTTGTCCTATTTTTAGCGCAATATAGTGTCAATTTTGAAAGGAAAATTAACAAGCAATTAATATCAAGAGTGTTTAATAAGAAAATGGAAATTTCAGTGATTGAATCTATAAGTCTATCTTGTAGTTTTTTCCACAGACGTTACGGTTGCCATAATCCAGGTTTGGTGCCTAAGTGAGCAATCAAGAGATTTAATCACAGCTGCTCTTGCCGATTAAGAATCCGGAGAAGTGAGAATGATGGGAAGTTCCTGCTATTGCTGTGAATCCTACCGGAGCAGTATCAATCTGGACGTAAACTTGGTCTCCTGCCTGAAGCTCCACAATGGTGACCTCTGACCTCTTGAGCCACATGCCCTCCCACTCGATGAACAAGTAACCAACAACTTCTTTGTTCTTCATTATACGCAGTCGAAGGTAATCGGTGGCTGATTCCGGGGTGGGCATTCCTATGGTGAGCATGAAGGAGTAGACGCCGTGCACGGGGGAGGTAAACACACCAGTTGAGCAGTTGTAAGCATGACCCTCGTTAAGCAACATATGGTCAAAGTTCAATGATCCCGTGACCACCTGGACATCGGCTTTAAGTTCGGCAAAAAATGAGACCAGAGGCGTGGCAGCTATTGAAAAGAAGAAAATCAGTAACATAATCAATGAAATATATGAGAGAGCGAATAGTATTCAAGCTCGAAAGTCCTAAAAACAATATAAATCAGAAGCAGTGAAAAACACAGACCTAAAACACAAAGTTTGCTACTGGTCAAAAAAATTATAAATAAAAAATGACATGACTTTATAAAACGTTCACCATTGTTTTTTTTTAATGTTTAAAGAGAAAACATGATCAAATTTCCAAAAGAATAAAGAGAGATTTCTAATCTTTAACTAATGATTCTCTACCAAAATACAGAACTTTCAATATTTTTGTCACATACAATGCATGCAACAGAGTTTTGATTGACTGAGTGACTGTATAATGTTTTACGTCCCGAGCGCGAATTTTTCGCTAATATAGAAACGTCACCATAATGACAAAAGTCTTGACCACTGCTAAACACTCAGGACCATTGCACAGTGAGGGATCTTTATTTATTGTGTCATTACCTGGCTTAACATGCGACCTGTTTTTATCAACTTAGGTCAGTTGCGACCGCGGATCCAACCCCTGATCTTCCGATCTCGGTGCGAGGTTTGTACCATATGGCCAACGCTGACGCATCAGAATCTATTTTGATTTAAAATCTTTTTGCGTTTATCATTTTATGAGTTGCTTTTGGTATTCTACTTTCTTGTTAAGTGAGAAAGAGGTTTCAAAATTGAAATGATATGAAAAGTCTGTTTTAAAGCAAAATAAAAATATCTTTTTAATTGCGAATCCATCTAGTAAGTAGATAAAAACAAAACACTCATATGCAGAAGATTACTACTGAAATGAGAATATTGTAAATTATAAACAGTGATCTTTGCAAATTATTAAGTTTCAATTTAATTTTGCTATTTAAAAGTTTGCTAATTTTGATATTCAAGAAAACATACCTTCTTTTAGTTTTTCCACCTCCGCTTCCAAAGTATCAATTCTGTTTCCAACTGCTGTATCGTGTGTTTTCAAACAGTTTTCAAACTGGTACAGTGAATTGGAACAGGAGTTTCTGTCCTCACACATAGTCCCAGATGTTCCGAGGACAAAGAAACCCAATAAAACATAGAGAGGACTCATGTCTAATATTTTATTCTGTCGAATTCAGTCAGACGTCTATTTGGTATAAACTATAAACAGTCTCTTATATAGGACTCATATATTGCGACGCAGTTATAATAATTATTTTTTATACGGTTAACTGCTCCTTAAGAGGCAAATTGCAGTTGATTAAACAATTTCAAGCAAGACTTCTAGAATAGATTAGACTTTTTGTAAAAACATTAATTATATATTAGGTAATATGGTCAAAAAGAAGCAATTATAAAGATATAACTTTTCGCTGCACCGGAATTTTTTACTTGTAGGATAAGGAGTCAAGTATACTGTCCTTGGACTTGCTAGTCGGAGTCAAAATTCAGTGTGCCAGTCCCTCTAGTCCTTCCATTATCATAAATTGCCTTAAGGGCAGATGAAAATAACCAATTTAGTCAGGATAACGTGTGAAAAAATGAATAAGTTTAACCTCATATATTAAAAAAAAAACATTCATTCAAAGTTTCATCAAAGTTTGATTTAAACGACAAAAATTGTGTCGATTAATAAGGAGGGTTTGCAGAAATTACAATCCTGAACTTCCTAGAGAGTAATGTAGCTTTTTATTTCCTAGTTTGTAGTGCTGGTTATATTGTGTACTATTATAACTTTACATGGACACAGTTTCGACTGATTTTTTAAAGCCGATTTTTATCTTTACAATTCGTAACTAGGGAAGTTCTAATAATCAGCAAAATTTTAAATATTATTTGTTAATTTACAAAGGATTTACAAAGGAGATACAGAACTTATAATTCTTCAAAATGTTAACAAAGCTCGTGCCTAAATTGCTTTTGTTGATGCTGACTCCTCCATTGCACCTGATCCCACCTCTGATGTTTTGGAGGTCCGTGTTTGTTCTGCTCCTGTTTTGTATTGTTTTATGGACTTGTGATCTTGAATACTGTTTGTTACCCCCATATGTTTCGTTACATATGGAAAATATCGCATTTATACATGTAATAAAACCGTAATTAGAACCTGTTTAGTTGTATTCAGCATTTAAATTTTTATTGAAAAAATCTGCTTTCAACGAAAATATATAGGTAAAAGTATGTTTAACCTATGTAAACAAAAACATGACACTGCCTTGTTTACATTACAAAAGGTTTGGAGCTCTAAATCTGTCTTGTATATCGACAACTGGAATTTTTTTTAATGATAATCCTTAGAAATGCCTTATAGTGAATTATTCATAACCCCCCCCCCCCAAAAAAATAAAAAAAATAAAAAATGTAAATCATTTTTTAAATTTTTTTTTTAGCTGAAACTGTGTCCATGTTCCTTAATACATTTTCACTCTCCTGTCTACTCCATAGTGGTCGCTAATCATGGCGGAGTCACTCTCATATTGTTTTGTTGTTGTTGCATTGTATTTTTTTTTTTTTTTGAAAAGATGGTATAAGAGAAAAAGATTGCAAAATGTTAAGGGGACCTGCATGGTCGAAAAATATTACCTTGAACATTGGGTCTGAGTGGTTAATTTGTATTCGAATGGTAGTCTCGTGTGGATCCCGTGTAATTTTATGAATATCAGTAGAGATGAACGTGAACTATTCATTTTGTAATATTGGTTACCGTTCCTTTTTCTTTTTTTTTTTATACATTTATTAGTTATTATTATTGATCACAAAATAAACATGATCGAATAATAAATGTATAAATTGTGAAAAGTCATATGTTTTCATTCTATTAGTTTGAGTGAAATTTCGTTATTTCACATTTTCTAAAAGTTCTTTATACGTAGTTCTTTAGTTTGATTGATGGTTAAAAAATTTCTAGAATACCTTTTTTCACAGTAGTATACTGAAGCTTCACCTTTAAAGTTTTAAATATTTTTCGATGAGTAAAGAAAGGGGTTTAATATCGGTACTCTGAGGTTAAAAATGCTGGGGTTCTTCATTCCCAATGCAGATTATAAAGAACACGTTTTCAAACTAATTGTTGGGATGCGTACGGGGTTTATATCTCTCAATTGATTTTATACATATATGTTCTCAAGAGCATGCTCTACATATTATGTAAAATTTCTTAAACAAGGGAAATTACTGACAAACAAGTTAAGTTGATGAAACTAGAATATCAGCAGTCTCGTTTCAACTCATCATTTGGTAAGTTCTATGGTTGATACAATGACCTTGTCAGCAAATACAATTTATATATCATTGAGTCAAAAGCTGACTGAAATTTTTTTTTATACTAATTATTAGTCCATTATTTACACACTAAATTGACGACGGATTTTTACGTTATTTTCCGATCATGACAAGGGTGACATGACGGATGTGACCGTACCAATAAACACAGTATACGGCGCCGTAGTGTGTAACGCTATTTCATGAATATGCCAATTATTCAATGCCCAGTGATTGCGCTTAAATTTGAATAAGCCAATTTTTGTTCATATACAGAATTACAGTACTATTATCTAGGAACACAGATTATTTTTAATTCCGTCTCCAATATTTTATTTGAATTCTTATGCCTATTCTCTAAATCTTTAAGATCAAGTAGCTGATGCGCTTTCATTTTTGACATCACATCTTTTATTAAAAACATATCAATAAAATGAGAAAACATATGGTCATACAGTGTTGAATTTTTATATGAATTTTTTTTATACTGGGATTATTTTAATCCAATTATGTTCATTTGGATCAGAACTCTGAATATTTTGAAAAATTATTGAACATAAATTCTAATTATCGATTTTATTATTTCCCATTTATCTGAATTATTTCCTGAAACGTGTCAGAGAAGCTCATGTTCTATTTGACCTTCGATTCGCAATTGCAGTAAATCAGTTTTTTTTTTTGGTTCCTGATGCTCATTCGTGATTTTTGTATCCTGTAAACGCTTACGATTTACATTGATGTTGATGTCCTTAACATGGTGAAAATAATAAATAATGCAAAAAATTATCTAAAAGTAATAGAAGTAATAAATACATATCCAGAACACTAAAACATACTCAACCCTAGGGATGCACAAAAAACACTGATAAATATAAAATCTTAATTGCTTGTAACATCAGATATTGTGAAACATAGGGAGATAACGAGCAATATTCAAAATCAATTAAGCATTGAATTCATATCTTGGGATGTCTTCTCTCCTATAACACTCCTGGCCGTGTCGACAAATTGAATAACGCGCGTTATTTCATGGGAAATGGTTATATTCTTTAATTTTTCCTCTTCATAATTGTTTATTTCGGTAATCTTTTATGTGAATTTAGCGCCCATCAAAACTGGTGTGCTTTATAGACGTGAGAGCCGTTTGTGACGTTTGTGACGTCGTAAAGTTAAATAACGCAAACAAATATTGCGAGGATAAAAAATGACAAATTAATTTTAAATGCACATTTGTTGTATTTTTACCTTAATTCAACAGGGTTAATTTTTTTTAATTAAATTGTATCAAACAATGTATATTTTGGTGTTCGTAAAGTATTGAAAATGCATATAATATCTACTGTGTATTCTAAAGCGCAGTGACAAGGTTTCGCGTGTGTTAAAGAGATTTGAACGTCATGGATTTCTAATGGATTTCATAAAGAAAATTACACTGAATGTAAATATAAGTCAATAAAACAATACAAAATACGAGCAGAACAAACACGGACTACCAAAACATCAAAGGTGGGATAAGGTGCCATGGAGAGGTAAACATTCTCTGCCGACCGGTCACACCTTGTCATGATCTGGAAATATTGTACGATCCTCCTTTAAATGCTTAAATGCTTCTTTGGAATAAAAATATTTCATCTTGGATAAGATCAAGGGAATATAGGCGATGACAAAGCCCTGAAAACTTTTTTTTCTTCAACAATTCATTCGTTTCGCTATTCGCTTATTTGCAACGGCATTGTGATGTAAACGAACAATATCCTGGACACGCGTATTTGGACTTCTTTTCCAGGAAACACGTTTAACGTTTCTTTTAAGCTTTTTGCCAAAGGGTACACGCGATAAAATTCTTTAAGGGGAGATGCAAAGTATATCAGGCGTTTGTAATAAAAGTATACTTGACGACTCAAAAAAGGTTAAGCCATACCATGAACAATACGAACAATACGTACTTTGATTCAACATTATTCCTTTTTGACAGTTTTTAAAGAAAATATGAATAAATGATTACTTGAAATGGAAAAGAAACATGTCTTTTATAAAACTTTGATTCAGTCTATTTGGTTATTTGTGCGCTTAATGTATTAGTTTTGGTGTAATTAGATACTATTTGTTATCTCCATATATTTCATTAATCCTCTTCTTTTAAAGTTAAATTGTCAGTCATTTGACATATTGTTTTGATTTCTATTTATAATCTTACGTCATTTATCTCCGTTATCAATAAGTTATAATTAGCATGGCGTAATTCTACCAAAAAGGAAATTAACAAGCATTATATTTCGTCCCTTGTTAGAGATTCTAAAGAGCAAAGCTACTTTGGGCCTCATTTGTTTCTGTGAATACGTGTATGTTAAAAATCGAAACTGCTTAGATTTGATTGAAGATGCAGTATTTATTACTTAGGAACTTGATGGACATGTATCCATTTTCAAAAAAAGCCAACAATCGAAGTTTTTTCATATTACATATAGAACACAACCTCTGATACAAAATATTTTAATTACATGATGAAAGATCTGACATACGTAGAAAAAGGGGGATCAACCAGACTAGAATAAGAATTCAAAACATGGAAAAAATATGCCATATATGTTCAGTAGACCCCCTCCTACATGAAAATGTGCTGCATTGTTTCCTGCAATAAGAAGGTGCGTGAAACATAGGAAATGTGGACAGAGGGTAATAGTCAATCAACTGATATAGGTTCAGGATATTTTTTTGCATAGATAGAACCTAGATCTTTTTTCAATCCGTTTAAAATAGTTTAACTCATATCTTTTTTCATTTTTTTTAATGTTGCTAATGAGGAATTCCAGTATTCTCGTAAACACACTCCTCATTTTGTTAGTTTTACCAACGATACAATGACTTGGACATAAATTAATTACACATCAACTTGTCAACGGATTATTCTGTTA